ACTGGCCAGGCTCCACAGGGCTCCTGGCAGGGAGGCACTGGCTGCCACAAACCAAGTTTCCCCTCCCGTTTCCACAGCAACACTCGATGACTGATTTCCTTCGATGACTGATTTCCTCCGCTGCCCTCCAAGCAGGGCGCGGGAGCTCAGCCCTGGCACGGCACCCCGACACCCAAAATCCCCGCCCACAGCTGTCCCTGGAGCCCTGGCACCACTCTGGCACTCCCTGGCACCCCTTGGCACCCAGTATGGAGCTGGTAATGGCACGATGCCCCCACCACTATGCGCTGACCCCAACACCATGTTAATTAAAACTGCTGCAACTGGTGATAATTTCAGGGTGCCAAAAATGCCCTGAAAAACACACCAGCACATGAGGGATTTTTTGTAATTATCACCAATTAGTCATTGGTGCCTGATTGGGGTGGTGCTGATGGGTATGTCCAGCTTGTTTTGGAAGGGCTGATAAAAGGAAGATGCTGTGCCAGGCACCCGCCCCGGCACAGCCATCGCTGCTTAACAGCAGGAAAAAGCGGTTCTTATTTGGATCTGGTTGCAAAATTAATTAATAAATTAAGGATACAACTGCAACATTTCCCTTTTTCTATCGTGCATTTTGCAGTTGGCTCCATAAAGGTGCCATTTCCCTGTGTTGTCACCCTACTAATCCCAAGTCTTTGGCTTCTCCGGCTGCCACCAAATGGTGACGGGAGGTGCAAAGTCTGGAAGTGGAGCAACTGGAGATGAGGTGGCCCAAGTGCAGCTTTTTTGTCAGAGCTTAAATTTGTGAAATGGTAACTCAGAGCAGCAGGAGGGCTGCCAGCAGCCAGGAGCATCCCAGGGAAAAGGCCAGCGTGGGTGCCTGGGGACACTCCAGGATGGGAACTGGAGGACCTTTCCCTGCCCTGGAGACCTCTCCCGTGGCAAGATGAAGGAGAAATGGAGGCCAAGTCATCAAAGGGAGGGGGATTCGTTAAATTCATTCCTATTTAGCCTTTATTAAACACAGCCCATGGGGAGGGAAGAGCCACCTCCCCTCCTCACCCCTGGGGAGACAGGGCTGGCTGGTCCTAAAAACCCTTCCACATCTGGTTTTAGGAAAATTTAGGGTTTTTTTCAGGCCAGGGCTGAAATCTGGAGGCTATACTTAGCAGCAGACAATGCAGTCCCCCTCCCAGAAGTTGCTGATTCTCTCATGCTCCTCCCTCCTGCCCCGAAAATGTCGGGTCTTAGCAGAAATCAGCAATTAGGCACCGAGACCAGCCACGGTCAGTGCCCGCCTCGCTGGGGCCAAGGGGTATTTTTAGAGGACAAAGGGAATTCTCTGGTAACATGCAATTATTTTTGGAGCCCATAGAAAAGGCACAGGATGCTCCTGGTGCTGTGGGTGCTGAGGGTGCCAAGGGAGGGGGGCAGTGGGGATACCCCTTGCTGGAGAGGCACAGCCCCATGTCTCCATCCTCATCTCTCTCCCAGGGTGTTTGGAGGGATGGACAGCAAAGGCAGGCAGAATCCAGGGATGCTCCGTGCTCCTGGGCCCCCCAGCCTTAAAACAGGGCATGGTTGCATCCAGGCCCACAGGACAGTGGCTTGTACTGGGAGAAACCACTCCAGAAGCTTTACTGGTGCTGCTTCCCCATGGGAGAACAGGCTCTTCATCATCTTCATGGAATCATAGAATCCCAGAATGGTTTGGCCCTTAAAGATCATCTCATCCCCATCCCTGCCATGGGCAGGGACACCTTCCACTAGACCAGGTTGCTCCAAGCCCCTTCCAACGTGGCCTTAGACACTTCCAGGGATGGAGCAGCCACAGTTTCTCTGGGCAGCCTGTGCCAGGGCCTCCCCACCCTCACAGCCAGGAATTTCTTCCCAATATCCCATCTAACCCTGCCCTCTAGCAGTGGGAAGCCATTCCCCCTTGTCCTGTCACTCCACACCCTCTCCTTGCGAAAGGATAAATACACTGAGGATCCAGAGACGCTCCGACAGCTGGGAATGGGGACACGGAAAGGCTGTGGGTGTTTGTACCATCCATAACAGTTTTCCTTGGCTGGAGGAAGGAGATGCCAGGATCAGCAAAAACTGGCAAAATCACAAGGAAAAGGGCTGGCTAATTATGTTCTGAGGAGTTTAATTAGCACTAGTGGGAGATGGGATGGTGCTCCTGGGTGTTGTGGAGGAGAAAAGCAGCACAAACCCTCTATCACACACCAGGTGGTTCACACAAAAACATCAATTTAGGATCCTCCCTTGGGAAAACTCACCTGGCTGCTGCTCCCAAACACTCATCCTGTTGTCCCTAAGGAGAGCCTGCTCCAAGAAGAGGGCGAGGGAGAAAGTGGGATTAAAGGGGTGGAGCGTGGCCGGCAGAGGATGGACTCACTCATCACACTGGTCACTCCTGCCCGTTCCCCGAGGTGGGGAGCAGGATTGGGGGCCCTGGGGACAGGCTTTTCCCAACCAGCTCCACAACAAAGGGCTCAGCCCTTTATCCCAGGACTCCTGCGAGTTGGGGACCCCTCTGAACATCCCCTCGGGAAGCACAGCTGCAAGGAGCACAGATTCTACATCCCTTACTACGGATACCCCCTAACCCCACTTATTTCAGGAGCTCCTGCAGCTCCCCCAGCACCTCCACCCAACTCCAGAGCGCTGGACCTGGCTGCCACTTCCATAAAAATCACCCCAAAAATCAGAACTGAAAGGCTCAGCCCATCCATCCCCCGCCCGAGGCAGGAGTTGCCTTAACCAGCTCTCCGGAGCCGGGATCGCCGGAGCGGAGAGCACAATAAACGCCAGCGTGTCCTTAAATTCAGATCCCTCCCTTAAGCCTGGGAGCATTTTAGATCTCCACGAGTCAAAGCGATGCAAACAACTGTCACTTTATTGTCACGTCCAGCCGTACCGCGAAAGGCACACAACAAACTTCATTGGTACAAAAGAATTTCGCTCCGGGGGGTTTGGGAGGGGGAGAAGTTCGTACAGTTTTCCTTGAGTTTTTTCTTTTTCTTTTTCTTTTTCTTTTTTTTTTTTTTTTTTTTTTTTTTTTTTCTTTT